GAATAAGGAGATTATATCTTTAGTTTTCCAACTTCTGGAGCAGAGAAGGTTTCGCTAGAACAGTGTTTTATAAACTGTGAGTTGTGACTCACGAAAGCATTGTCAGATCAATTCAGAGGGTCACAAGACTCTTTTTCTTAGTCACGAGTAGAAAAAGCAACTATTAATGTAATGAAACTTCTGTCTGAGGTGTGTGTGTGTGTGTGTGTGTGTGTGTGTGTACACACACATCAATATCTGCAAAGTAGAACATTCTTCCCTCTGGATCGTGATAAAAGAACCAAACCCTCAAAAGCCACTGCACTGGACACTGAGTTCCAATCTTTCATTGCGGGGTCTTAAAGAGAACTACCGGACAGACCTCAGAGTCTATTGAACATGTAGGGTTGGGTTTTAAGAGAAAGTCAAAGCTGGGTATCTGGATTATATAGTCACTGGCAAGAAGATGGCATTTGAAGCCCTGGGAATTAAGTGACCCAGAGAGATGGTATGAAGTGTCAAGGGAAGGAGGTCTGGACCAGACCCCAGGGAGCACAGACATTTCATCTCGGGGCAGGAATTTTCTCCTGGGGTGTGCTGGTCCTGCCTGCATTCTGATACTTTTCACATGCTCTCCAGAAAGAGCTGGATCCGGGTGAGCCCCACAGTGCTGGAAAGGTGTGTACCAAACACGTGAACTAGAGCTGATTTGGCAGCTGCTTGGCAGAGCCATGGCTCACACCACACTGGCACTGGCATGGGACCAGAGCGCTGGAAAGGTGTGTTCTAAACACACACAAACTAGAGCTGATTTGGCAGCTGCCTGGCAGAGCCATGGCACACACCACACTGGATCATAAGCCGGCACTGGCATGGGACCAGGCATCACACTGGCACCCTGACGTGTGTAGGATGAATGCACAGAGCAGAGACATTCTCAGAAAGGTGTAAAGAGTTCCTCTGATTCCAACCTTCAGGAGCTGGGACCCAGAGGGGGCGAATCTCACCAGCCAAGGTTGACTCAGTAGCTCTGGGCTACTGTAGCAGCCTCCTTGTCTGTGGTTCAAGGTTTCCTGCTTTCACTTACCCACAGTCAACCGTGGTCTGAAATATTAAATGGGAAGTTCCAGAAATGAGCAATTCATCCGTGTTAAATAGTAGGCTGTTCTGAGGAGTAGGATGAAATCTTACACTATCCAGCTCCATCCCACCAGGGACATGACTCATCCCTTTGTCCACCGCAGCCACACTCTACATGCTCCTTGCCTGTTACTCACTATCTAGCTGTCTTGATTATCAAATTGACTGTTGCAGTATACAGTGCTTGTGCTCTAGTCTCGCTTATTTCACTTCACTTCACAGTGGCCCACAAGCACAAGAACAGTGAGGCTGGCAATTGAGATATTCTAAAGAGAAGCCAGAAAAGGCTGTTCTTTTGTTTTTATTTTTGTTTTTTAGAAAAAAACCCCAGAAAAGTTAAGTTTGCATATGAAAACCCTTACACACAATACATATAGAGTTTGGTATGCCATGGTTTCAGGCATTTACTGGGGGTCTTGGAATGTATTACTTGTGGGTAAAGGAGGAACTGCTGTATTTATAATTTTAAAGAGTATTTTGTTGTATAGAAAACTGGCAATAAGGGGTGGGAGCTGTTCGGGAGGTGGACTTTATTGCAGCTAACTCAGGAAACAAATTGAGTGTGCTTCCATAGGAAAATGGGCAAACTGTGTGTATAGTTAAACAAATACCAGTAGATGGCAGTTAAATGAATGAGTTCGATCTACATGTATCAGTCTACATGAATCTCAAAAACCTAAGGTTATGTGAAAAAAACTCAAGCACAAAATGTTATATAAAGTATGATATTGTTTATTGAAGTGTTAAAATCCACACAAAATTCTCTTATATAGTTTAATGGGATAACAAGTATACATTTATTTAAGCGAAGAGACACACACAAACTTCCAAGCAAGGGCTGTCCTCTGGGGAGAGTGTAGGGACATGGATGGAGGATTGAGATTTTAGCTCTATATAGATTATTTTCTTTTTAAACAGAAGCAGAGACATATAGCAAAATATTAATAGTTATTAAATTAGCTGGTGATGCAGGGGAGAAATATTATTTTCTGTTCTTTTTATAATTAAAAAATAATTACAAATGAATATACATTTTGTAATGCCCAGAGCAAGACTTAGACTTCTTCTTCTGACCTCTGATTAAGCAGATGATGTTTAAAACAATTATTAGGGAAAAGTATACACACACATACTATTAATACATGTATATATAATACACACAAATACTGGCTTACATATTTCTTCACTTTCTGAGAAAACTTTATATCATAGGACTCTAACCTTTTTCTGGATTTGGCACATATTGAATCTAGAGGCGATCTGTGTCTCACATTAGAATGATCATCCAGCAGTGACTGGAGTGGTAGAGGCAGAATAGGAGCAGCTCTGGACACTGGCTGCTCCAATGCAGGGCTCCAAAGGTGTGACCTGAGGACTTACAGAAAGGCTGCCCAGCTGGGTGTGGTTCAGTGGTTGAGCATCAACCAGGAAGCAGGGTCACCGGTTCAATTCCGAGTCAGGGCATATGCCTGGGTTGTGTCTCCATCCCCAGTAGGAAGCAAGTAGGAGGTAGCCAATCAATGATTTTTTCTCATTGATTTTTTTCTCTCTCTCCCTCTCTGAAAAAAAAAAAAAAAAAGTCTGTGGAAGGGGACCAATAAAGCTGGACTCCAATCCTGGCTTTGCTACTGATCATATGTAAGGACTTGACAAGCTCCTGCCTTTCACTGGGCTTCCTTTCAAACATTGGCTCTGCTGATCTCTCAGGATCTTTCCAGAGATTACACAAATGACTACTGTATCTTCTTGACTGAAGGCTCTGGCCTTATATCAGAATAATCAATGGTATGAATTTTCCCAAGGGGAGCAATATAGTTAGTCTTCATTGACTTGTTACTTTTCCATCAACTCATCCTCTACAAATTTTACAAGTATAGTGTGTGTGTGTGTGTGTGTGTGTGTGTGTGTGTGTGTGTGTGTGTGTTAGGGAGTGGAGGAAAGAGCAGTTGAGTTTTTACCAAAGAGACATAATGTTTCAGGTAGCCTGAATTCCCAGTTACAAAAAACATGTATTTTATTTGCATATATTGTGCCATCTGCTCATAATATTCTCAGGGGCTGGTTAGCCCTTAGAGAGTAACAGAATTTAGTTTTGAACTTCTTAGGCTGTCCCCCCTACACGTCAGGTGAATTACTAAAGATTATTTTTTTTATTGTTTTGTCTTACTACAACATTCCTTTTAAGCTTTGCTCCCTATGTCTTCAGCTGTTAGCACCCAGAGTATTGCTTGATAGAGACTGATATTGGGAATCACTCATAATGTCCAAGTCAGGTATCTCTTCTCAGAGGATGGTTGGTGAAAAGTGCAAATGGAATCTTTCTTGAATTGGAATATGAAACAGTAAAAATTTGCTTAGTTGACACATGCTTAGGTTGCAGATACCTTTCCAGAAATGCATGAATGATTGGTTTAAAGCATAATTTATTTGTCCTACAGAGTTAGGGTAGAACTCAAATGCCACGAGGCCTCTTTATTCTCTAGTTTTGGGCTCCCAAAACCTGTCTGTGTTTGTTATCACATGCCTCTTGTCTTGCTGAGTGCAACACCTCTTCCAGTGCACCCTGCTCCCTAATAATCTACTCACAGAATCGTTTAAGAGAAATGTAGACTTTTACTGATTATTTCACTGACCTAGGAGGAGTCAACAGAGCATGCTGTTCAGCAAAGGACTTAAAATTTCCCTTCAGTCATTTCTGTTCTCCCAAGTTGTTCTAATCCATATCACCCCTGCTGATTTTTCCCCTTCTTTTAGATCTTTTCTAATCTTTGACAAAATTCCTGAATTTCAACATCTTTCTTTTTTCTCCTCCTTCTTGAGAAACATGCAAACGTTGTTTCATTCTTTTGTGTAGCATTTAAGGGCCCCTTTTCTTTCTGAGGAATAACTTCAACGGCTTACACTTTAAGTCCAATGGTACTTTCAAATAATAAGATGCTGCTTCAGAGATGATGGACAATTGTAAGGGTTGTTGGAGCTAAAGAATCTCCTGGTTATCCAAATAAGGAGACAAGATTGCCATTGTTTAGAGAAGTCCTTTTTGCCATTTCCAAGGTTGTCATTGTCTATCAACAACTTTGTGGGACTTTAAAAGCTCCCACATACATTATTTTCTGAGAGGTGTTTGAAGCAGGGAGCAGGATGAGATCATGTGGAAGATGGCAGCACCTATGCCCTAGCCAAATGATCGCATTTCCTGACCATAGCACGCTGATTTGAGAGTGTGCTAAAGGCATAGTACTTTCCTGACAGGAAACAGAAACTGTTTGTTGTTGAGTTCTTGTCCATCTTAACCAGAATGAAGTCAAGCCTGGTCAGATGGTTTCTCAAATATCCACAAGGCCTCTTTGGGTCTGGGTGGTCAGTTTGGCAGTCCTTTCTTTTATGTATTTTTAGGTCCTACAGTTCACACCATTTGGCAGGTGCCCCGAACCTTGTCTCCAAATCCTGACTCTGCTGAGGTGGCATGCATCCAGATGCTGCAGTATCATTGGTTTCACACTGTAGAGGGCCTTCCCTTTGGTTGTGGGCTTTCAGAACGCTGTCTGAAATCTTAGTTCCCAGGTCTATGATGAGAGAGGCTGGTCTTCTGAGATGGAGGACTTTGGAGAGATTGAAATACAGCCTCTTCATTTTTCATACGTGGATCCTGAGTTCCAATGCGGGGAAAGGAGTAGGTCCAGGCCATACAGTGAGTTAGTGGTTGGGGCATACATCCATTCCTTCCGATTCCCTTTGGGGACTCTGTCCACCACACTACATTCTTCCCTGTCTTCTCTCTGAAAGATACATGACTCAAACATATTCTCTCTCTCTCTCTCTCTCTCTCTCTCTCTCTCTCTCTCTCTCTCTCTCTCTCTCTCTCTCTCTCTCTCTCTCTCATCCCTGGAGCTGTGTCTTCCCAAGAGTCAGAAGGAGAAACATACTATATAATACCCTTTGTGGTTTCAGTGTTGGTCTAGTTTCCTTTTTGCTCAAGTGTTTGGATGGATGAGGTGCTATATGGTAGAGGCCAGGAGAAAGGGTTCACTCTGAACTACTGTATAAGAAGATGGACAGTACATTCTCAAGAGGAAAGGTATTTGTATCCACATACTGGAACTTATCCACCCTGACTGAGATGGTGGTATTGACCTGGAGGTGCTCCAGCAGGAACTGAGAGAGGTTCTGGTATATGTTTTTGGTTTGCACTCCAGACTCGCATACTGTCACCAAAGTCTGCCTTGTGATATTTTGGTTGATAAGTAGTTCCAATGTTAGGTCGACAGAATGTTCTGGGCATTCCACCAGAAACTGCAGTTGGCAAATAATGAAGTACCAACCTGGGAACTGGATCACCAGGTTTCCATCCTGATATCTGAGTCCATGGACAATGCCATCTTGGTTCCAAGACAACTTGGTTTTGTTTAAGTGTTTTGACACTGAAAAGAGAAGGAAAAACAAAATCAGATTTTTTGGGGGCAGAATGCAGGTACAGATGGGAAAATTTGAAGCCTTTATTCAAAGTTCCCCCTTTAAGACTCCTGTCTTCTATAATATTATCTGCTGTCCTAGCCATCCAGAATATCTTTTGTGTTACTCTTTCTAGGTGCTACTTAATATTAAGGCACAGCTACAAAACTGCCCCTCTTCCCTTTTTCCAATGCCAAAGCTGAGGGTCTGAACACACATGGTGTTGGGCCTCTACCTCATACAGAATTGTTTTCCACTTGTTACATTATTCTGTTATAATTATTATCTTTGCCTCTTCAGACTATAAGCTCCTGTGCTGTATTCCTAACAAGTTCTGGACTATCATGCTCATTTAAAAAAAAAAATATATATATATATATATATTATTGATTTTAGAGAGGAAGGGAGAGGGAGAGAGAGTTAGAAATATCAATGATGAGAGAGAATCATTGATTGGCTGCCCCCACTGTGGACCAAATTTGCAACTTAGGTATGCGCCCTTGGCTGGAATCGAACTCTGGAGCCTTCAGTCTGCAGGCTGATGCTCTATCTACTGAGCCAAACCAGCCAGGGCTCATGTTCATTTTTTCAATCAATAAATGTTTCATCAATGTGAGGACTAATGTTTGGGTGGCATTGCACAAAATATCAGAAATAGGACATTTATTTGTGTTCAGTTAATAACCAATTTAGGCATCAAGATGGCCAGGATAATCTTAGTCTATTTGCTTTCACAGTAAGATGCATCCTTTAACTATCCGTTGTCTAAATTTTTTAATGTTTTCCTCTCTTTGAAAGGGCAGCCAAACATGACTGTGTAGACCCTTTACATGTAGGCACTTTAAGGAGCTCTTCCCAGCTGGGCCTTGTAGAAAAGCAGAGCATTAGCAGATCCTTTAAGCCAACATGTTCATGTCAGAAGCCAAGGCTTTCTGAGCCCTAACAAGTGAACATCAGCCCTGATCGATCAGGGTGCCTTTCAGAGCTGGGAAGCTGGTATGTTCATTTTAATTGCCTCTATGACTTCTTCCTTTTAAACCTCATTGCAATTCAATTGAAAAGTGCAAACTAATTTAACTGCAAAATTGAATTTCTAAAATGAGCAGAAGGGCTATTCAGAGAATCCTGGGTATCTTTTCCAGACCTCATTTTTCCTGGTGTAAGTAGTTCTCATTATTTCATTTAGAAGGGGCCTTTTCCGTTGCTGCAATATGCAAACAGGCTCTGTGCCGACATGTTCATTAAGCTGTCAATCTGGGGACAGGGCAGTTTTGTGGTCCCCTTGGGAATAACTTGATTGAGGAAGAGCTTAAGAGCCTGCTTCCCTTGTATGAGGAAAAGCACTATGCACGTGGCCTGCAACTTGTAGGTGGCGGAATAGAGAGGTGGTGGAGTTGAAGCCCAGATGCCTTCAGGGGCATGTAGGCAAAGGGAAGGAGAGAATGGGACTGAGGAAAGGGGAGCTTTGTAGTTTTAGAGTAACTTTCTTCTCTTTCCCCATAAGGAATTTTAATTCAAATGATTAAAAAAATACCTTATAGGCTAAGCAGAATACATCTGCAGGTCACATTCAGCTTGGGCCTCTACTTATGGCCTCTGGCTTAGACATTTCAGGAAAGCCACAGGAAGTGGCCCTTGGGTGGTTGGGGTCCCAGGGTTTGGTTACTGACCTTGGAGGTAGGCCCATGACTTCTTGAAAGGAGCCCTTTGCAGGATACATAAGATGTCCTCTGAGCAATCTCCTAAAAATGAAAGCACACGTGAACTGTCTTTCTCTGCTCTGGGAACTGGAGACACCTTACCATTTTTTTGTGATCCTTTGATGGAGACAGTTACCATTCTGTTTCCATTTGGGTAAAGGAAATCTGTGTATTTCTCATTTTGCCATCAGGTACCTTAGATTTTAAAAAGTTGACTGCTTCCCCTTGGGCTTTTACAAAAGACCTTGGAAGTTGGGGAACAAAAACATATATGACCTGGGTTCCTATGTATACCAGGTGCCATTCCTGTATGATTACCTATCTCACCTCACTTCATCTTTGGGAAAACTCCATGGGAGAGGTATTAAGTCCCTTTGATAGAGAGAAAAAGCCTAGGAACCAGATAGATTAAGTACCTTGTCCCAGGTCACTCAGCCAGTGTGGGCAGTCAGGACACTATATGGATGGAAATTGTTGCTTTCCTTCCCATAAGAGAGCACCAAACACTAGATGGGGTACCTGTACATATTTCAGCTCATGTAATTCTCAGAATAACTCTGCAAGGTTAATCCTGATGCCTAGACATGGTCAGTGGTACAAGATCAAGCAGGTTGGCGGAAATGCTGAGATTCACCTCCAAGTCTACAAGGTTCCAGAAGCTAGGGTTCCTTCTTGAGGCTGTTTTGTTAGACAGTGGGAATAAACACATCCTTATGCTTAATTTTGAGAGGATATAGGATCAAGATAAACACATCCTTGTGCTCAATTTTAAGAGGATATAAGATCAAAGAGTTCTAAGCAGGGAGCCTGCTATCATAAGTTCCCTTGGAAGGTGAAAAAAGACAATGTTTATGTCATTATGGTATTTAAGATATAAAAATATTTTAAATATATACTTTGGTGATGGTGGTTTAGCTTATTATTATAGTAATTCTTTGTATGTAGAGAACCAAGTTACACATTTTTTGCAGTGCCTCATGAATTAACTTACTCTGGACAAATTCCCTTTCATCTTTGGGCCTTGGTTTCCCGGCTGTAAAACTGGTAGATCTATAACCAGACACTGACAGCTTTTGGATGATGTCATTACAAATGACTATTCATTCCATACATCAGACACCAGGCAGCCAGGAGCTGATTCAATTGAAGTCACCTTAGCCATGCATTTGCTTACTGGTCTCTGAACAGTACTCAGGCTCAGTTTTCCTCATCGCCCTCTCTTCCCAGCGAGAAAAATCTCTCCTGGTTCTTCACCGCACTGTGCTTGGAAAGGTTGAACGTTAAGTGGAGAGTTCCCTCTGCTGTCTGAACAGATTTGCTGCTAGAGGCCCCTTCAGCAGAAACAGAGGGTGGGTGGGTTCATCCTTGTCTGTCCTCAACCCGTAAAAAGGCTCTGCAGGATCAGGGCCACACTCCTCCACATGGCATCCATGCTCCCTGGGTCCTCATCCCTCATCTTCTGTCCTAATTAATAATAATAGTATCAATAGTAGTGCTGGTAGTGATAATAATAGCTTATATTTCTATGACCTTTTCCTCTGCCTATCTTCCTCCATTGGACTGTAAAGAGACTATTGTTCATACATTCCCCACTTCCCAGCCCAGAAGATGCTCCACAGATGTTTGTTGAATTGAATCATCCAGTTCTTCCTTCCCTCTGTGGAAGTCAGCTAAGTGCTCAAGGTATGAGTGAGGAGAATGGAATGCTTGGCTTCCTTTTGCCCTCTGGGTTGAGATAACACGCAGGATCATTCTCCCATTGGTCCTGAGGGTTCAGTTAGATTACATGAGAGGATGACTAATGCCCTAGACTGAGGCCAACATATCCCAGTGAGGACAGACTTTGCTCATAGGCCAGAGGCCCCCCGCAGCACACCACCTCAGGTGAGCTTCTGTAGGCAAATGACTGCAGAAGTACAAGCCTGGGCTTGCCTCTCACACATGCAACTGCTTTTGTTCTTTCCCCTTTGCTCTTTGCATGTTTAGTGGGTTGACCTCAGTTGTAATTCTGAGAAACCCAAGGATGGAAAAACACACATCTTATTTTGAAACATTTGCATTTCCTGAAGTCAAATGGCATGGTGTATTTTAATTGTTTTTAAAGAGCCTTTTAGATGGTTTCAAGTGAAAGGAAAACCATGGGTAGCCCCCCATATCAGGGATAAGGAAAAGGGGCTGGGACTCAGTATGCTGGAGGAGTTGCAGATGGAATGAATGGGTGGCTGAACCTGGAGAGGAGCCCAGAGGTTCCTTTGCCACCTGACGAGGAGGCTGTCAGCTGGAAGACGGCACACTTGCTCTGTGCGGCCCACACGCTGAGGCTCCAAGTGCACATTTAAGGAGATGACATACTCAGCTAATGGCCAACGCTGCTCTTATCCCCATTTCTCAGGTGAGGCAGTGAGAAGACCTCTTATGAGGACACACAAACCGCATTGGAAGTTATAGTACTGGTACCTCAAATATTTGACCAGTTGATGCCATTCAAAGAGGCATTCAGTAGCTTTATAGGATCTTGGGGCTCTTGCCAAGAGCTGGGTGAACTTTTTATGTGGCTCATGTCTCCTCATCACCCTGGGGCACCATGATCTGACTTTCTTTTTTGGTTATGAAGACGGGAAAGAGTGGCTTGTGAATAGCTACATACAGTTGGAATAGCTGCATACTTATTACATACAGTTGGAATTCTGTCATGTCCCTGGAATCTGGGATGCTGGGAGCATAGGGAGTAGCCCACTCCCTGTCTCATTCATTTCCCAGATGAATGTCAAGTCTGGGGATACGGGTTAGTTTGAAGAGCTGAAGACTTACATGGAGAAAATGAGAACCTGTAAGTCATGGTTGAGTTGAAGACCTGGGAGTTTCCCCTCTCTGGGCTCTCATGTCCCTAGCTAGATGAAGAGCAGGGTGGATTTGATGATCTAGAAAGGCCCTTCTGGCCTGTTCTAGTAGGCTGTATAGACTCACTGCACACTGCCAGGCCTGTTACTGGGGGAAAGTTAGTCCCAGCCCCAGCTATCTGCTTTTATAGGTGTGCTGCTTTATCCCAACTATGAGACTCTCTTTCACATATTCATTTTCCAGACACCTGCCGTGGTAGCACAGAACATTTTAGCTCTGGGATAATCAAGGTTTTAAAGAGTCTGGTTCCTTAGGATTTGCATGGTTCATAGAAATGGAAGTTTCCTGAGAAGTCACCATGTCCAGGCATGGTAGCCACATAATATATGTGCTCGTCAATGTTATCCCCACAGCATACTTTTCCTAGGTCAGTGAGTTAGTGACAAGGGTCAGGACCAAAGTCCAGGGCTCCTTACTCTTCTGCGTGACATTTTATCCCTCAAATAGCTCAAACACTCTGAATTCTTCTGAAGACCAAGGCCTTCTGATGGGAAAGAGTTTTAAGCTGTTTTTCCAAGCTTTGGACTCCTCTAGAAGGATCATGAAACTTGCTTAGGCTTTTTGGAAAGCCCGAAGAGATATATGTGGCAATGAAACCCTCCTAGTTAGTTGCACAGAAGAGAGATATTGCTTAAGATAGTTGAAAGGATCATGTTCTAGACATCAGAATAGTGATAATCTGAAGACTGGACCCCACCTTGAGGTCTTATAAAGTTAGGCCTGAAGAGGCCATTAGATGCCAAGTTAACCATGATCCTAGTCCTATGAGTGGGGATACTGAACCCAAAATGGCTAAAAGTATGGCCAAGATCCCGTAGTAGGTCAGGAACAGAGCTGGGCTCAGAACACTCCTAGTCTAAGGCTCTTTTCCTATTGTTTGGTCTTCCCATGGAGCAGAGAAGAAGTGGGTTTGCAGCCACCATACACCCGGGACGAGTAATAACAGGACAACTGGAGGTGCTAAGAAAACAAATCTCTGGGCTCCCTCTTGTGGGAGAATACCAGAAGGTGACTCCAGGCCCATGTGCCGAATCCTTACAAGTCATCTGTCAGGACAGTTAGGCTAACAGTAAGATGCAACAATGCCCAGGGTGGCAAAACAAGCCACATTAACCACTGCAGCCAGGTGGTCTCTGTGCCAGGCACCATCCAGGTTATTGGAATGAGACAGACACAGTGCATCTCAGAACAAGCCCCTGGGTTCTGGTCAAGGCTTTTAGCTTCAGACCTGTCACTTCCTCTAACTGACCCTCAGTTTCTGCATCTATAACAGTGGGGATAATAGTCAACCCAAATGAATGGATGTAGTGATGATGCAATGAGATCATGGATGTCCAATGGCCAATGTGGAATGTGACATAGAGGAGATAGCCAGCAAGTGGTAGTTTCTTCCTCCCAGACTCCTCTTTTCCTAACAGTACTGCTTAGCAGAGCGGTCTGGCTGATGAAGTGCTCATTAAAACACAGATCATGACATTACCTGATGGATCAGAGTTTCTCAATTACGTATATAAGTGTTTGAGGCCATCTCACACTTCTGGAAAAGTGTGCAGAATCCTCCTATCTGTTGAAAATATTGAATCCTCCCAGGAAGGAGAGCAGTTATTCTGATACCTCTACGTCTGGTTGTTTCTTCCATCCGCCTGGGAGCATGGCCAGGAGAGTCTCAACAGTAACATCTATGGGACAGTCTCTCCAGTATCAGTAGGAGTTGGAATCCAAGTTCATCCTCAACTGGCTTTAACTTAACCGCTTTCTTGATGCCACTAGGCCCACTAGTGATGGAGAAACTCCCTGGTAGTGACCTTTGATTTACAAACAGCATTTTTGGGGACTACCCATGCTGGCATGCTCAGGGTTAAACACATAAAAAGTGATCAGTGGTACAAACTGAGATCAAGGTGAAACTAAGTTGAATCCCTTGAAGGTTCCTTAGGATGTTGGGGGTTTTCAATCTTGACCTGTTGCAGTATGTAAGATAAACCTATCTGACCCTATGGGTATTTTCTTGAAATTTGCTTCTACTAAATGCAGGTTGAGTTGATATCATTGGGGGCATTTAAGAAGCACTTTTAAAGTCTATAAGCTAAAAGGCAAAGTAAATCTGGAGTCTGCGGTGCAATTGGCTAACCTTTCAAATACCATTTTAAAAACACTTCCCAGAGTATTGTAGATGCAGAAATGTGACAGCACACTTAGAATGTTAGGCTTGGGATCAGACTGGCTCAGGTTCAAATTCTTCCTCTCCCACTTACTAGTCACTCAGCCTGTGAATTTTCCTACAAGTGAAGATAATCAAACTCCCTTGAAGGGTTGCTGGGAGTTTTGAATGAGATGATGCATAACAAGGAGCCTCTATCCATCACCCAAAGTATATTCAATAACAGTTGGCTCTCATCCTGTGGTTCGGGGCTTGCACTGCTGGGCTTTGTAGAAATATAAGCCAACACATGTGATATCCCGAGGTCTAGGATGAAATTAAGTGTTAAGCAAGTTTGAGGAATAGGCCTGTTTCCCCTCCCTCTATCCCTCTTTCCTTCTCCAGCTCTATTTCTTTCCTTTTTCCTTAAAATAGTTAAAAGATGAGGATTTCCTCTGTATTTAGAAACTTATGATTTGTATGTGCTAAATTTAAGTATAATTTTTAATATTTCTCAAGGACCAGAATATTTCCCTCCTTTTCCCCTTCCCTATTCTCCTATCTTTCCCCCTTCCTTCTCCTCCCCCCCTCCCCTCGTAGCACCCCTTCTCTCTTATTGGGGGCAAGGGATGGGATTAGATATAGATCCCCTTAGTACTCTAGATGGCCCCTCCAGCACCATATCCCACTTTATTCGGAGTGGCCCATTTTCCGTTTTCTTTCTTGTGGAGAGATTTCTGATTCCTGTTAGCTCTGCCTTAAAAATAAGATAGCAAGTGTAAGAGAGTTTGCAGTGAGTGTGTATAAGTAAAAAGAAAAGCAAATAGGCTCTCTGAGGCCTGTGACTGTCTGAAAAGATATTTCCCCCTAAGTAGAGGTGCCCCTCTTGCTATGAAAAAAGAAGAAGAAGAAAAAAAAAGCGACAACATCTGGTGGTTTGGGCTATCTAGATCCAGCTCAGTCCAGCCAGTAGAATTGAGGTTTCTGCTTGCTAGTTGTAGTCTTTCTAGGAAAGGGTGCTGCTGCTCCTCCACCTGCCTCTCCTCTTGTAGTTCAGGGTCCTGATGAGGCTGTGACCATGTGGATCACAGTCATGTGACATCAGGGATAGCTGGGGATTGGTGAGGAGCCAGCCTGAGTGCGTTAGCTTCATTGCCTTTCAATGGGCAGCTTTATTGTTTTTTTGGGCATGGTTCACTAGTGCAATTAGAGAGCCAACCTTACTTGATCGCTCTGATGCTTACATTTTCTGTTTAGCAAGGGCATGGCATGGAGACAAGGTGGTCTGCCAAGCCATGCAAAATTTACAAATTAGAACAGTCAAATGGCCAACAAATCTTAAGATATTTGCTTGATTCCTGGAAGTTATGCTCCAAGATATTTGCTTGATTTCTGGAAGTTATGCTCCAAGCAAAATCCATGCCAGGGTTAGGCCATCTGGCTGGCCCCCATCACTTTTGATATTTTAGAAAGCAGGAAATTCCAGTTTCTGCAAGAGAAAGTGATTTGTTACAAGTCCGGGGACTGGACTATAGGTACATATTCTAAAATAATGGAGAGCATGATTCACCAGCAAGAAAATGGACAGTCGCTGGAGCAGCGGTTCAGAGTTGAGGAGGAGTTGGGAGAAGTCCAGCCCTAGAGAACTGAGGGGGGCCGGAGGCACTGGAAGGAAGTAGTCACATATTACTAAGCTCCGGTGGTACAGCCCTTGTTAAGCAAAAGGGCTCCAAGGCAGGCCAGTCTGGATTTTGAGATCTTGTCGCCTTCCTTGCTAACTGTGCAATCTTAAGTGAGTCAATAAACTTCTCGGTGCACTAGTTTCCATACCTACACACAGAGATAATATTTATCCCTGGGGCTTGTGAGGGGTGCATGAGTGAATCACAAAGTGCTCAGCCCAGTGCTTGGCACATCAATGGTAATTATTTTCACTCTGCCGGATCCTCATTTATATGAAGTGAGGGGATAAAAGAAAACTGATTTAAAACTTGTCTATAGAATTTCTCAAGTGCCGGGAAGCACGGTCTTTCAGTTGCTGCCTCTGGAGCATCCTTCCAGGTTTTTCTGGGAGCTGGTTCCGCTCTGCCTGGAATATCTTGCAATGGCTTTTCAAAGGGGACAATGTGCTGCTTGTGCCTGTGTAAGGCAGGCTTTCTGGGGGCAGGAGCCCTGGCTACAGATTGCCTTTTTTTTATTTTAAATTTACATATTAAGCAACAGAATTATCATAAAGTGTCAAAGCTGGAAGGACTTTCCAGTTCATTGAATACATTCAGTTACAGATGAGACCTGGAGAGGGAGAAAGACATGCCCAGAGAAACAGCTGGTGGAGTGAAGGTCGGTTCTGGAGACCAGGTCTTCCTCCCTGGGACCATGATTTCTACCTCGCCTTCCCAGCAGGCCTGCAGTCTACCCAGTGACGGGAAGAGTAGGCTTGCCTTAAAAGCAGGAGGAAGCTAGGGACCAGACACAGTGGGTGATGGGTGCTTATGGCTGAAGCATGTAATGCAGAGAAATGGAGAGGAACCTTGGGGTCTGGTCCCTTGGACAATCGGCAGAACTCCTTGGATGACCTTGGACAAGTCGCCTTAATTGCATGGGCCTCAACTACTCACCTCCAAAATGGGATCACTAAATCCCATGTTGCTCACTCCCAGGAGGGAGGTGAGATATACACAAGGGAGGTACTGGAAGGCCCTTTCCAAAAGTTCCATAGTCCTAGTGGGGATTTTTATTAGCATTTTTATGCTAGTGTTGCAGAAACATTAAATTGTAAACTGAGGCTGGTTGTGGATTAGTTTCTTTTCTGATAATTCACAGTGATGGCCAAGATAAGAAAAGATATGACAGTGATCTAGTCCATGGTGCCCACAATTTTGGATTTCATGGATTGATGAAATTACCACCAAGTGAAAATTCAGTGACTCATACAGAGTGGGCAGCTTTTGATTTTGCCTTTTGTGATCATTAAAACAAAAAATTACTTGGATAAGAAGCAAACCAACTTAACTTCCCTCCATATCAGCTTCATCTTATAAAAGAAAGACCATTTTAATATTTTAGAAAAAATATATACTCTCAGAGCAAAGGAGTGCCCCTTACTTACAAATAATAGGCTCTGAGAAAATGGGTGACCTTGCCTTCCTTTTTGTGATTCCACTCTGGAGTGGTTGGAACTATTATAGGGGCAGAACCACTAGTAAGAGATCCTGTGCTTGGCAGCCTATGATGGGAACTCTCTCCAGATGCCAAACTGATGTTGTGGGTGTGAGTGGCTGTGTCTAGACATCCTTTGGTCCCAAGGATGTTCTGGTGTCTCTACCTGGGTGCCTATGATGACCCATACTTTCTCTTTTCCTTTTTTTCTCTGAGTTGTCAGGTTATCCAGCTGTGCTTATTAACTAGGTTCTAAAAGATTACAGAACTGAGATGGGTTAATGTACTTGGGTGATAAGACCACTGGCTTAGAGATGAGGACATCTGAATTCTAGGTTTGGCTCCATATGTCCTTGGACACAAAACTTTACTTCTCCTCCTTTGTGCTATGGTAAGATTATTCAGATGGTCTCAACATTTTCATCTTTGCAGTGAACCTAACTCTGTTTACCAGCTCTCTGGAGTAGAGACAAATGCATTAATTAGTGATTACAGTAATAGGAATTGTGGAGGGGTGAGGTGGAGAAGAAGGTCTGTTTTCCCAAGTCCTCAACTGCACTATGCATTTTGGCTGCTATCAGTTATTTAATGATTACTATGTATTGGTTGCCATGTCAAGCAATTTATGGATGAGGTCTGATTGGATTATTGAATACCTTCATAAGGTAGTATTATTATTCCCATTTCAAAGATAAGGAACTGAGGCTCCTAGGTGGAATGCAGAACCAAAACTCACTTGCCTGACTCCAGATTTCAGGCCCTTAACACAACACTGCTTTGTGTTCCGTCCATGTCTCTGCAACAGCCTATGCCAGAGGTAGAATTTCCATCAGTGGGAGAGGTGAGGGGTGGTGGGAGACTTGTGGGGATAAGCTTGTGGATCACAGTCTGCTCTGGTGAATCAATTTGCAGCAGCTCCACCTTAAGCAGCCCCATCTCTGCCTCCGTCCTCTTTTCTATTGGGCGCTGCCACATGTCTCTAGCTGTTGATCAACTCTGATGTCATGTGGATGATTCACTACACATTTACTCCTAACCCCAAGGTCTTACCTCCTTTAAGGGGGAATTTTCCTGGGGGAGTTGGAATGGAGTCCTAGAAGAAAAGAAAGAAAGAAAAAAGTGGTGTGAGGAAGATATTCAGTTGAAACAACTCACCTTTTTATTTTCCATTTTGTTTGTCCTTAAAAGTACTGTGCAATTTAGAATTCACCTTCCATCTGACTCTTATATTTTAAAAGATAAATTCACTGACTTAGTTATCATGAACTTGCTCATGCATTTACTTAACAACATGCCTATCAAAAAAGCAATTCAGTTACTATCCACATTTCATAGGCAAGGAACCAGAGTTAAGAGAGAAAAAATGAAAAGTTTATGGCAGCTCAGGGACCAGCATCTGCAACTCAATCCCCAGTCTAGTGCTTTTTTTGTCACCTCCACATAAGAACAATCAAATATAAATACATGTTTTTTTTTTCCCATCTTTGTTTCATCAAACAGTGAAAATAGTTTGTAAACATACCTGGGAAGGTACATTTATATCCTTCCAGTGGTTGGAAATTCTGAATTAATTGAATGTTTATGTGTCAAACATCATGAGGATTAAATAATTAAATTTTGAGTCCCTGTCCTCTGGATTTATTACCAGCTTAAAATTGGGTAGATTATCCAAATATTTATAAACATATAAATAAATTCTTATATTTTTATATATTTACTATATGTTTCATATTCTTTATTCTATAATGTACATGAATATATTGACATAGGTAAGTAAAGTTTGATAGAAAGAGATTGTCTTCTGGAGAGATTGCCTCCTAGAGATTGCCTTCTAGACTGGAGAGTTGCAGGGGATGAAAGGGAGGTCTTATTGGGATGCACTAAGTAGGTAATAGAGCAGATGGGCACAGTTCTTCAACCCAATTAACTATACAGGGACTAACTTTTGCACACCTAGTCTTCCTCCCACTTCTTCCCACCTTGGCCATGGAAACACCTGTCAGATGTCCTGCCAAGGAGCAATGAAATGTCTTACTCTTCTTTTGACCTGTCCAGGTTGGGAATCACCTATGGTTCATTGGATTGCAATATTAATAAAGACCTGGAGACCTTAATACATAGATGAAAACACCTTCCCAATCTATCAGAGCAAGATTTAGCAGTTGACCATATCTTCTTTTCTTAGCGTTTAGGACAAACACCTAGGACCATCTGGAGTTCCTCTTTTATTCTATCACTAGAGGCCCAGTGCACAAAATTCGTGCATTCAGGAGGGAGATCCCTCAGCCCAGCCTGTGCCCTCTCACAGTCCGGGACCCTTGGGGGATGTCTACCTGCTGGTTTAAGGTCCGCTAAGCTGGCAGGTGGACATCCCTCTCACAGTTCTGGACCCCTTGCTCCTTACTGCCTGCCTGATCTCAGCTCCTTACTGCTCTGCTCGTTGTTCCTTAGCATTGCTGCAGAGGCAGGAGAGGCTCCTGCTCACCAGCTGTGAGCCTGGCTTCTGGCTGAGCAGTGCTCCCCCTGTAGGAGTACACTCACCACCAGGGAGCAGCTCCTGCATTGAGCATCTGCCCCCTGATGATCAGTGTGTGTCATAGCGACCAGTTGTTCTGCCCTTTGGTCAATTTGCATATTAGGCTTTTATTATACGTATAGGTTTTTCCCCAGGGGCTCTGTCTTTTTCCTTCCTGGTAAATGGATCCCTTCTCCAACTCAAGTGGATTGTAATGAGTTTAGAAGTCTCCTGAAGGCAAAACCCTAGCATAGCACCAATCTGGAGAAGGTGGAAGTCAGTCTAAACTTTTAGGCTTCATCTTTTTAGGGGAAAGAAAGTGAACTTGACTTGGAAGGTCCTTCCCTCTTTGCTCTAATAGTCTATGATTTTATTGTTTTGGTTGAGAGCTCTTAACTTAAATAACAGTGCTGTTCATTGTGGTCTCTCAGTTATGCTTGCAGTTCATAGGAAACCCTGACATCACAAAAATCCCCCCCAATAAAGAGCATTTCAAAATTTAATCACCTCATTTACTGTCAAGCATGATGATTGGTTAGTGTAATGTTCAAATGTACAAAGAAAATCATCTATGTTTGGGTTTGATACTAAGATCATTGACCTGGTTGGCTGCCAAGGAAAGTATGCAGGTACTATGAGAGAATGCCACAGCAGGGGGAAAAAAGTGGAGCCATCCCAGGGCCACGGGCAGGTGGGAACTACCAGAGGATCATACATTAGCACATACTGAATGAGCACCTGGTGTAGGTCAGGCACCAAGTTAGTGTTGGAAAACATCCTGTGGATTTTATGGCTTATATATTAAAGCAGTTATTTAAAATACACAAATAAATATATAATAAGAATTTCAAGTTGCAGCAAGAGCTAAAAAAGGAAAATAGTCTGAATATTTCAAGATTGTATAGTAGTCCCCTCTTATTGAAGGGGATACATCCTAAGACCCTCCATGGATGCCTGAAACAATGAAAACTACTGACACCTGTAGGTACTGTGGTTTTTCTATATATACATAGCTTTTTCTTAGATGATATCCAAATTGCCTGCATCACTTCTGATGGCTTTGGAGCCATTGTGAAGTAAATGTGGGTGGTATGAGCAATATGATAGGGCAACAGTGGGCCTGACCACCCAGATGGCTACCCAATGACTAGTGGGTAGGGAGTACACTCAGCATGGGGATGCTGGATGAAGGGATGATTCACATCCTCTGGACTGGACAGAGGGAGGTAGAGTGGGACTTAATTGAGATTTTTTATCACGCTGCTCAGAAGTATTTATGGAACTTTCCATTTAATATTTTTAGATCAAAGTTGACCATGGACAACTGAAACTACAGTTAAGGGTGGAGTGGGAAGGGGACTGCTGTACCTCCCAGGCATTTGTTAAAATGCAAATTCTGACTTGGCACGTTTGGGTAGAGCCTGGGAGTTCATTTCTGATAAGCTCCCTGGTGATGCTGGTGCTGCTGGCCCACAGAACACACTTTATAGTAAGGTCGTAAAAGGCAATATCTGGGAATTGGACTTCATTTATATGAAGTTAGAGGAGGCCTCTGTCTGTCACTTAAAGGCTTTCTGGTTTCCTAACTTCAGACAGAAGAGTCAGAATCAAAGCTTCTTTGTACAAGAAAGAGTCCTGTGGCTTAAACCTTGGATGCCCAGGACACCCAAGATAGGAATGTGGCTATTCCTGTTTTGAAGAGCTCTTCAGACAAAGTCTTCTACTTCTCCTGGTTGCCCATGGTAGAAAAGATCAAATAATCAGAGCCAGAGGGGAGCCTAGACATTTTTCAATTCATCGAGCTATTTTTACAGAAGAAGAAACTGAGAGACTCCTGAGTCAGTTAGTGGCAGATCTGAATCAAAGTTTTCTGGTGCTCTTCTTTCCACTTTCCCAGTAGTAGTGGCTATCCTCAGAAGCCAATGATAGGAAAGCTCATTCTACCCTCCTCTCCCCTCCCATTTGGAGATAGAAAAGCAAGATACAAAGGAATGATGGCTTTTAAAATTTGCTGAAGACTGTATGTGCCCTGGGCACTATGCTAAAGGCTGTCCATCAGTTTCTCTTTGGCAGGTGCCTCTCAGTCCTAGAATTCTCTCCCATCTCTTGCCTGGGGATCTGGATCCTGACTGGGGAAATGTGAACCATCTTGCTCAGTGACTTGACTTTGAGGGGAAAAGTGTATAGGCTAGACACAGGCACAAGCCAATGGATCCTCCCAGGATGTCATTCTCAGTTTCACTGAGTAGCTAAGAAAACTTCATCTCCATGGTTACCAATCAGCTATACTTCTTTCAGTGTACCTCTTTTGGCTTAGACTCTGGGTATCTGATGGGTGTCTCCAACATTTCTGTACATGGTGGGAGGAACTGTCACATTTAACCTGCTCATCCAGGTGAAATGACCCAATCCCAATCTTCCCTACCGAGGACTCTGTGTCCTCATTTCCTTTAATCACTGTGATTACAGGGCTAATTATCCTTCCCTCCACTTGGTTGTTGCAGGCATGATAAAATGTTTGCGAATGCTTGAAAATAGTACCTATTTTGGCTACTCTCTTGATTCTAATGATGTGCTTAATTTGTTTCAATACCTTGAAAGGCCCTTTCCTTTCACAGAGCAATGCTGTGCAGGGATACTCAGCTCCCAAATTTGCTTTTGACAGAATATGCTCTCTCTCATTGAAAATGGCCAAAGGGGATTCCACATCCCTTTCTTTGCTGGCCTCATGCTGTCTTGTAAGGTGGGCCACAGAGATCTTTGCCAGAAATGCCTCTTATTTTCAAGTTAACATGACTAAACACTTAATCCTCTGTGGTTAAATGCTTTATTTTATTTGGCCTTTACTCCAAGAGTTAGGGACTAACCAAGACTTAGAGAAGTGACTTAATGATTACAGAAGACCCCACAGATAGCAAATAGTGGGGAAAGGATTAAAACTCGGGTGTGTTGACTTGGATGGCATACCACAGTGCCTTTATAGAGTAGGACAGGATTAAGCTGAGGCAGAAAATTCTCTTGGGACTTTATGAGAAAGTGGATGGAGATAATAGAAAATCCCTAGGAGAAAGAAGATTTTTATTAGCAGTCTTTGTCTTGATATGGTTAAAGTGGGAATTGAAATAGAGTGGCTCCAAGCAATTATTCTCCCAGTGAGGGTTTTGTTCAAATGCTGGTTCTAGTTCAATAGGTCTGAGATGGGTCCTTAAGCTTTGCATCCCTAATAGGCTTCCAGTGATGCCAGTCTGCTGAGCCATGGGCCATGCTTTGAAGAGGAAGGGCTTAAAGCCATCACTCAACAGGCAATTAGGACAACTGAGGTCTTCCTTTTCCAAGGAATTGGGAATGGCTATAGGAGGCTGAGTGTGTGTTTAGGAAAACTTCTCCCTAGACTGCTGATGGGGATGGAATCCTATCCTCTCCCCTTCCTCCTTCAATGCTTCTTGCCACCTAGGCCTATTTCCTGCTGCTCCCCTGTGCAGCCTGACTGACCGCATTTCTGGCTCTCCATTACTCTCCTCACACCTGGGCTTGCCTTCCTTTAGAGTGCACCTCTGCTCACTCTTTCCCTCACCTGGAATGCCCTATCCCAACTCTACCTGCCCCATCCTTCCAATGGAGAGCTCTTCTCCATCGGAGAATGCCTGCTAATAAATGTGGAAGTAATGATAGAACTAGGCAATCATTAATCTTCCACCCTCAGAGCATCACCCAATATATTACTCATTAGTAAGAAAGAAAAGAAGTGTTTTACAAAAGAGAGACAGTGGTGACCAACTTAATCAAGTGACTAACCATCATTGCCATTCATGGGACAACCTGACATATGTCTCTAGCCTTGCTACAATAAAAAGTATATAAAACAGTACCTGTGCACTATAACTGCCAAAAACGATTCCTCTCATATGATGAATAAACACTATAAGACAAATCCAAAAAGTGCATTGTTCTACAACAAAACTAGCTTGGACCCTTTGAAAAAGTCAGTGTCATAGAAACAAAGGGCAGAGAAGATGGTGGATCATTGCTTCTTGGGCTTGAATGTGCATAGATCCCTGGGGACCTTGTTAAAGCAAAGTTTTCAATCCAGTAGGTCGAGAATGGGGCCTAGGATTTTGCGTTTCTAATAAGCTTCCAGGACCACCCTTAAAATAGCAACATTCTAGAATCTAGATTAACAGGCATAACCAAATGCAGTGTGCAACCTGAGACTGGATTCTGGATCTCCCAAACTAAACAGGGCACAGTGCCTGTAGAAGATGCCTTTGGACAAGTGGGAAATTGACGTAGGGACTACATATCATTATTAAATAATGTTATCGAATTAACACTAACTCTCTTGGCTATGAAAATGTCTTTGCAGTAAGTAGGAGATGGGCTGAAATCCATGTAGGTGAAAGGTCACACTGTATGCAACTTTGTATATAGGTTATATGAGTACCATTCTATTTTATTAAAGGTTTAACATTTTCAAAATAAAACTCTGGGCATAAGTCATGATCCTTTTAACCCTAAAAGAGATTCAGCTTGCATTCCAGCTATTCTGTAAACCCCTCCTTCCCTCACTGCAAAGATGTTCCTAAGCAGAAACTGTCTTCCTCTCCTGTGTCTATGGCATTCTGTGCCATTCTGCCCCAAACTAGAGAATTCCCAGAAAACAGAAGTCCTGCCCTATTCATGTGGTCCTCCCATCATGGCCAATTGGATCAAGCATAGGCTTGACCCTGAGATGGTCAGAAGATTTTTTTGATTGATAAAATTGAATGCATTGAAGAGAGTAACTTGGGTAGAGGGAAGCACCACAGGGCATGTTGACACACTTCTTTATTTTATTGGAACTTGAAACTAGAAAACCAGGCCACCACCTCACTTACTATCCTTAAACAGGCACTGCTCCACTCTTGGTAAGGACACACTGTTTTAAAAGGGAATTTTCTTTGCTTATAAAGAGAAAGGAGGCAGCTGCTTGCTCTTCTTTCTACAAAGGGCCTCCTTTCAAACCTATTGATCCTGAGCATCTTGCTTGGCACTAACCTTGTTGAATGTAAATGGATCTCTCAAGGGGCTGGGTAGGCCCAGTCTCGGGTTTGCAACAGAGATGGTCCTTTCTAGAGCCGACCTGGCATGCAGCCTACCTCCTTCTCTAACTAACCTTTGTCTCTGGAGAAGAGAGAAATTGTATTGTTTTTGCTTTGCTGGGTAAACTGTGTGGAATTTCATCCTGACATACATGTGTGTACTATGTTGTGCTCACTCAATAATAAATTACTTTTCTTTCTTTTTATCTTGAGGTGAAGAGATGTCTCTTTGTCGGCAGTACTTTTACTTCCTCAAGAGTATTCTGGTACAATCTCTTTGGAAGCTGATTGGCAGTATTTACTGAAGTGAAAAATACACATTCTATTCCTACCACTAGGAATTTATCCCACAGATATACTTGTAGACATGCACAGCTAGCACAATTCTAGGCACAGATAAATTATAATGCAGTCATTTAATAGGATACTATTGTATGACTGCCTCATACAATAGGTGGGTTTCCATGTATTAGCATGGATGAATCTCCAAGATATACTGTCAGTCAATAAAGTAAGATGGAAAATTATGAGTTTACTATAATTATATGTATGAACTATATATTTGTAGATACATAGATTTTGGGAAGGGCAAGGAAGTACCAGTTAATGATGGTTATCTCAGGAAAGGGGGACTGGTGGTGGGGTGGTCAGGGTATAAGAGACTGTTACTCTCCCCCACCCCCACTTATTTTCCTTGTTTCCTGTTTATTTATCTTAAATAACTTAAATATAATATTTTATAATAAACATATGGTTTAAATGTAAATAAAACAAAGTATAAACTCACAGACACAGAGGCATTACTAGACTACTGTTTCATAAGCAATATGAAATCAGGATTTCTGTTGGCTTTTTCAAGGCTATATATATCCCCATTGCTCAGAACAGTGTCACGCACATAGTAGATGCTCAATAAACATTTGTAATTGAAACCCAAGTGCCTTCTTTGTCCAAAGAGTTTGATCTTGGAGTTATTTGATCTTCTGGACAAACCTCAAGGCAATCTTTGTAGATTTTCCTACATGCCTTACATCTTCTCTTCTCTATCACTTTGCTCATGTTTCTCTATTGACTAGGAGGGCTCTCTCCTTTGATCCCCCTTCAACTGCTTGAAGCTATACACATCTCTCAAGCCAACCCAAATCTTCAATCTCCAGTGGATCTTTTGTTAGACTTTCCTGTTCTGTCTCCTTAACTTGGGATCTTATAGTAGCCCAAGGTGCCTTCTTTCCATCACTTATAATAGATTATGACTTATTTTAATTTTTTCTGCACATGTGCCTTTTTATCTACAACTGTGACTTCTTATGCCAATAAAACCTTTCTCATGGTTCTCTACCCCTGCCCCCATCTATCCTCACAGACTGCTGTGTGGCCATGAACCCATTTCATTTTTAATAATTGGGATGTGAGCTTAAATTTCTTGTGTATCTCCCATTGATTTTTTTTTTAAGCATAAGTCCTGTTATAGTGTCTCCCCCCCCCCCCCCTCTCTTTTGTCTAAGTTACACCTATCCTATAGTCTACCTGCATTCTCTCTTCCTGGGGAAGCCTTCCCTGAATGCTTGAGGTCATGGAGATAACCCTTCTCTTCTCTTAAAAACAGTTAATATCTAAACAATTTAGTAGAAACAATATGTGTAAAACACTTAATACTTAGCACTGTTTTTAAGTGAGTAACTGATACTTCTCAGGCTAAGAAATCACAGCATACAAACCACACAATCAGATTGTGAAATGAATCTTTTCACGTCCAAACAGGAGAGCTAAGTCAAAAGAAATGAATGCACAAGACAATAAAGATCCCCAGAGAAGACTGAGAACAAAGTTTCTTAGTGCTTCTATTGCTGTCTGTATTGGAAAAGGGAATGTTTTCTCATTAAGCAATCAAGTAGCTGACTCTACCACTTTCTCAAGATGACTTAGCTCAAGCTCTGTCCCCTTTCTGTTCCTCATTTTCCATGTTTACAAAAATGAAGCAGAAAGATGCATGCCAGTTCCCTTTATGAAAAGAATCAATTCAACTAAAAGTGGGATTTGAATAAGAACTATTCTGGAGTTCTCTAGCTTTATATCTCACCATCACCACCCCACCACAGTCATACCCCCTCCTCTCAGAAGTTCTAGATTTAACCTTTAACTATATACCTTTAAGTCCACTCCAATTTCTTTTCTTTGACCATTGCTATAAAATGATATATCTCGGGTTTACATCAAATTAGAATTACATAAAATTATAGAGCCTCTACCAAAAAAAGGGTGCCCTAGAATGTTTTCAGAGTATTATTTTTAGTAGATATAGATAAGGCCATTAATTGATGAGTCTCATACACTCTACCAACGAAATCAAACAGAGCAATTCTGTTTCCTTTCACTTTTATGGAGATATGAGACTCAAAGTGTCATTTAAATTTCAAAGCTTGAGGACACTTAAGAAAATACACCAAAGCCTTTTAAAGCCTGATTCTTTTAGTAATCCATGAATTGTAGAGCCTTCAGCCTAAGGGGGTTGGAGGGGCAAGTTCTGCGGGGTGAGGGGGGGCGCGGCGGGGTGGTGGTGGTGGTGGTGGTGGTGGTGGTGGTGGTGCAGTTCTTAAGCTATCAAAATTAACAAAACCCACTTTCTTAAAATGAGAAAACTTCCTCCTTCATCACTTTGGTTTTTGCACCAAAGCTCACCTTTACTTCAAACAAAGGTGGTCTTCTACGAGGTGTGACTCTGTGGAGCGCACCCATAATGGCTTGTAGCTTCAGCATTCTGAGCAGTCTCAGAGGGAACAGGTGTTAAAAACATTTCTGTTATCTGCCTCTGGGCTCTGTTTCTTGTGACACCCTCAGCTTTTCAAAGTGTTGACTTGCAAGGGAACTTTCAATTTGTCTCGTGGGTTTTAATGCTAAAATGCTGAAAGCTCTAAGCGGCCCTGATCTTCCCTTTTGCCCCTTCCCTTTCAGACTTTGGCCTCAGACACTTAGTTTTTTTTGTTTTTTGTTTTTTGTTTGTGGGTTTTTTTGGTTGTTATTTTTTAAAGCTCTTGGCAATGGATGAGGCCACAGGAATCTCAGGAATATTTGATCTGAGAATATAGAACCTGGGGATCTGGTCTGAAGACTCTGAAAATGTGAGAAGAAGTTATACAAATAATGTTATCCTGTCTCCTTATTGCTTCCTTCCTTGCTCAGAGTCCTTGGCTCTGTATGATTTAAACCTTCATTTCTCAGGGCTAAGAGCTTTTCTCCCTCTTTTGGCTCAGGGAGTCTAGAAAGTTTTGAGATGATAGCTCAGCAAACCTTTCTTTCCAAAAGCCAAAATATTTCAGAGAGTTAAGTTCCCGTTTCTCTACTCCCTTTCTCTACATGATTTGTGTACTTTTAATTTTTAAACCTCCCCGCTAATTTATTAGCTGATTCCCAAGACTCTCTCTCTCGGGGAAACTGAACATAAATCAGAAAGGAAAGGCGACGGGGAGAAGTCCACTTACCGACTTCTGAATCACCAGCACCATGATGGTCGCCACAGCGAAGATGAGACATACAGCCAGGGTGGCCGTGGTGAAGCAGAAGTAACTTCGGCTCGTGGTCCCCCAGTGGCCGGTGACGGAGCCTGCCGGCTCGTGCATGGCTGTGTCTTGAGAAGGGGCCACTCGGTGGAGTGCTCGCTGCAGCCCGGGGCCCATTCTTATATAGTCTTCCCCGCATCACACCTTATCGCTCCTCATCTGCTTCGGTTCTGGGCCCATCTGGGTTCCAAGAAGGATTCTCCCCTGAATCCTGGATCACGTGACTTGGAAAAAAACCTTCACCGGCTGCCTTGCAAAGAAACTCTTCTCCGGGGGCGTGAGGCACAAGGCAGCAGCATGGGTGGAGGAGAGGCTCATTTTTCATCGCCAGAGATTAAGTTGAGCACAGACAATGCAGCGACTCAGGAGGTGGCTGATGTCAGAGGGCGAGTAGGAAAATGACGGTTTCCCTATTCTGGTGTGTGTGTGTGTGTGTGTGTGTGTGTGTGTGTGTGTGTGTGTGTGTACAGTCACTTCTGTTTCATTTAGACTCAGCCGCAAAGTGCCTTCCTGCTTGAGAAGCTGCACTCTCTCTTTAGGGAGGCTTTCGGGTGAGAAGATCTGTCAGAAATGCCTCTCTGAGGATTTGGGGGATGGGGCTGGATTTCTTGGGTTCAGCTGGACAAATCCCTCCTGCTGAAAACTGGAGATGCTACTGATATAGATATCCATTGATGTAGAGATTGATCCAAAGAAAGACAAACTGTAGAAGCATGAAATGTGGGGCAAGTGCAAAGGGACTGGGAGTAGGAATTCTAAAAACACTGATCTTTGGAATAAAAATTTCTGCTGAGTGTATTGGGATCTGTTGAAGTTGCAGACAAACTTGGGCTTGTCGTAAAACTCACAAAGAGGGGAAGGGATGAGCCATGAGGGAGGGGATGGGGAAGTGGTCTTGTGCTGAATGTGGGGGGAGGGGTGTGTGTGTGCCTGTACTGCATGCAAGTGTGGTGCATGCTGTGTGCATTGTGATATGTGGTGCAAGCTGTGTGCATATGTATGTGTATGTGACTATTATACTTGAACTTATGTTGTCTCAGGCACGTGCTAGGAGCTTTATGCATGTCCTCACTCCATCCTCACCTGCACAGTCTGAGGCAGGTAATAATTTCATTTTTTTCCAGAGGGGAAAATTGAGAGAGAATGAAAACTGTTTCAAGCAAATTTGCTAATGTTAATCAATGAGCTAAGGGGTGCATAGCCTTACCTGGCTAGCCCCCAAGCCCATGCTAAACCTTTCAATCATCTCTGCAATTAAAGGCTGGAAGCCTGAGGTTGGGTCTCAGCCTTGCCCATTACTGGCCTTGGGTCCTTGTACAGATTCTTACGGCCCTCCCTTTGACAGCCACCGTGAAGATGAAATGGGATGGTGGTGTAACAGCACTTTGTGAGTGGGAATAGACTTGGCCGTGGTGTTGGACCATTCCAGTTAAGCATCTGCAATGGTCCCCTGGGTCCGGTGTGGAATTTAGATGGATTCATTGAATGAACCCATAGTTTATCTGAGGGACAGAGCTGCTTATTAATGCTCCCCATGTCAAAACACCATTGAAAATGTGAGCCACTGCTGAGCCCATGCCTCTGGATACAGCTCTGAAAACTTCCCCTGGAAACACCTAGTTCTTTGCAGCACCCTCCCCTTTCTGCTCTAGGTTTGGCTGCACTGTATCTCCAGCACCAGCAGAAACCCCAGATCCACCCAAGAAAATGTGGCCCGAGCCAAGCTTGGATTATTACCACTGCAATCTCTGTGGGGATCCCAGGCTGTTGAGCATCACCCAGTTAGTCAGACTAGGAACTGGCCTGGATGTTCCTTCCCAGTGAATCTATCAGAGCATAGATTCTGGATATGGAAGAGCTGTTAAGAAGTAAATTCTTTTTTGTTTTTGTTTTTTGTTGTTGTTGTTGTTTTTGTTGAAGAGAATGGTAGGCTGTGTACCTATTTTATACTCAAGGAAGCTGAAGCCTCCCAATCCCAAGTTGGGATTTTATTCGCCCCCCTATTTTATTGAGAAATAATTGACATATATCACCGTATACATTCAAGGTATATAGGATGATTTTTTTAAGTGGTGAAATGATTCCCACAATAGGTTCAGCTGACATCTGAGCTTGGTTTAGGAAGAAGTCGGCACACACACTCGTTTGGTCTGGTAACTGGGGTGGGAAGGAAGCAAGTTAGTGCTGTTGTCCTTTCTGCGTGTGTACCTGGCCAATGTGGGGAGAAGACTGTGTCCTGTGATGGGCATGGGCAGTGAGTGGGCAGTGGGGGCTCAGTCATCTGCCCAGAGCTAAGAAAAGCTGCTCCCTCGGCCTCTCTCTTTAGTCTCTTTGATGAAAGTGGAAAACTTCTGATTGTAAAATGGCAGCTGTGGGTGTTGAAAATAAAAAAGCTTTGCTTGAAGTGCAGGTCTTCCTGAAGGCCCTTGATGGCTGAGAAGGGCAATGGAAAAAAATGTTTGTCTTACAGTCACCTGTTTTGCATACAGTACAATGTCCTGAGAGGGAAGGCTGACAAGGGGGAAAATCAAGCTTTGTGTTTACGCAGAACCTTCTGCGCAGTTGAGATTTCACCAGGTCAGTTTGTGTCTCTGGCAGCTGCTGGGCCTGATTTCACTTCTCTCCCTGGGCACTTCTCCACTCATAGACTTCAGCGGTTTCCTGACCACTGCCCCCGTGCATTAAACTTCTCTCTAGCTAGCCTGGCCGCATCCATGTGCGAACTGGCTGCTTTCTTCTTTCTGTTCGGTCACCCAACACACCAATGGAAAAAGTTTGCAAACTGTCTTGTTGCATGGTTCTCAAATCTTCCTGGAAGTGAAAGTGCAGGAAGTGAAACTGTAGGAAAGCAGGGGTTCTCTGGAGACGTGGATGGGACACAGGGAAGGGCTGAGCACAGCTGCTCATTTTACCTGCTAATGGCCTGGGGTCTGTCCAAGATGGAACAGCATTTGAAAACTTGTGATTTAGCTCAAACATTCATTGCTCAAATTGGAAAACTGAGAAAAATAAGTGGAAATGACTTGTGGGAGTTCACATGGGGAGGGTAGAGATAAGCTTAGAAGTCTCTGTGCTCATTCTCATCTCTCCTCTGCTAATGTTGCAGGAGCACCCAGGTTTTTCCCCCAAGTTCTTCCTACCCTTTCCCTGTATCAGGTCCTTCCCATCCCTCCAGGCCCTGCCAGCCTGCCTTCCCTCCTCCAGGAAGGCCTGTCTAGATCCCTCAAGTCCACCAGCATCCTCTCTCCAGAACCCTGTCTCCGTGCCACCTAACATTGTATCAGGTGATCTACTAATTGCCTGTCAAATGTGTGAACACATGTGAATTTTGCCTTCCCCATAAGATTTAGATCCCTGGAGACAGCCTGCACTTTCCCAGCCTTCTTCTGATTCCTTGTAGCCCACTGAGCATAACTTGGTGCTGGGCCTACATATGAACCACCCTCAGTCAATGCTGTGTTGACTGTGTTTATGGAAAGAGAAAGTTCTGGAAAGTTGGCTTATATAAAGGAATTGCATGATGGTATATTTGCTTCTTCTTAGCTGCTCCCCATTTCCCTGTTCCTGTCTAGATGGCTCACCTAGCCCTTCAAACGTGTCCACCAGCCTCTTTTTGGCCTATAATTAGGTGAGATGGTGGTGAGGTGAGGTTTCAGCTTCTGAAACTCAGTGGGCAAAAAGAACTATTTGCTTATCCCTTCAAGAAAGAGCCCCATTTTAAAAAAGAGGAATGAGCTCTAGAACACTCCCCTACCACCACCACCACTAGTGCTTCTCCTTAGAAGGGACTGTGAAAGCTCTAGCATGTAGACCAGGGTTCCCAAAGTGTGGTCCCTGGACCAGCAGTAGCAGAACTTGGGGGCACTGGAAATTCTTAGGGTCCAGCAATTTGTATTTTAACAAGCACCCCAAGGAGTTTTGATTCCTGAAACTCTTCAGAAATCACTAGTTTAAGGAAATGACCAGTCTATTCTAGGGTAAACTTCCAAGGGATTATGTGGTCCAGACTGAAGCCTTTGTGTAGGTGAATGCCTATACCTGTTGTATAGGTGAGAAAACTGATGCATAGAGAGGTTGTTGTCTAGGGTCATGCATTTAGGGAATGTTGACATGAAGACTCATTTTTCTGCCCCTTGATTGAACATTCTTTCCAACCTCAAATATGGCTATAAAAATACTGTTGCTTATGCAGATGGAGATATATTTGTACTATGCACTGAAAGTTCTCTTATGATGATCATTGTCTGTGGTAGAAAGACATATCTAAAAACTATTGGTATATGTGAGGGAAGGAGAAACTTCCCCAGGGTATTTTCAAGCAATAAAATATGCAATGACACTGATTACTGAGGAGGGAAGGTCCTGTCCCAGGAACTGAGAGCCCTCTGGTTCGCTGGGGTTACCTTGAGTAGATTGGCATTGGAATTGGCCACAGTGATACTCACTGAGAAGATAAAGTGAGGACAGACACAGTGCGTAACTTTCTTTGATCGTAAGAAGCAGATGAGTTCAAAAGGAGAAGTGGTCACTGGCCAGATCTAACCTGGTACTCTTTTATAAATAAAAATGTAATGCAGTCCTGTCTCTTCACTTACTCATCATCTATGGCTGAGTTTGTACTACAATGGCAGTTCTGAGTAGCTGCAACAGAGCCCTCATGGCCCACAAGGTCTAAAGTATTACTAGTTAGCCCTCTATGGAAAAACTTTGCTGACCCCTGGTTTAGAGTATTAAAATAAACTCAAGGCAAGATAACAAAGAAGGGTTTTGGAGAATAGAAGAGAAATGTGTTTCCTGAGTCCTCTACAAAATCTTTACTTAAATTTATATTGCTAGCTCATGCCTCCTTGGGAGAAGATTTGTTTTTGGGATTTTCCAATTGTAGAGGAGTCAGATGTCCTGATTGGTACATGACAAAAATAGAGGACACAGGGGTTGAGGGAGAGTGTGGAAGAAGCCATCTGGAAAATAGACAAGATATATTTTCAGTATTGGATATATGTGTGTGTTTATAAATAATACGTAATACACACATACATATAAATGAATGTATGCATATAAGTATATGAGTTATATAATATATATACACATACACACATATTTATATATATCATTACTGCCGACTCAAAAGATATTTACATAAATACACATTTATATGAAGCCATAAGACAAAACAAAGGTAGGAGCCAAGATATAAAGGTAGAGAGAAAGTGGAAGAGTGACTGGATTAAGAAACCCTAGCTGATGACGAAACCAGTTTGACTCAGTGGATAGAGCGTCGGCTTGCAGACTGAAAGGTCCCAGGTTCGATTCCGGTCAAAGGCATGTACCTTGGTTGTGGGCACACCCCCAGTAGGGGATGTGCAAGAGACAGCTGATCAATGATTCTCATTGATGTTTCTAACTCTCTCTTCCTCTCTGTAAA